CTGTGGCTAAGATTCAAAATAGATCATTTGCCCAAGGTTATGAAAGTATTTCTTCATTTGTATAATAAGTGGCATAAGAAACATACTCACCTATCAACGTATAACTAAAATAATGAAAACAAGGTCCTGAATTGGATTATGATGAAGTGTTTCCCCCCCTGCCTTTATCATTTCATACACCATGTAACACTGATGAATTCTTTCCTTTATACAAAAGTTCAAGAGAGGCAGCATGGGCTACCAGAAACAGGAGCCTGACTCACAGTCAGGAAGACCTTGGTTCAAATCCTGCCTCTGATACATACTAGCTGGTGAGCATGGGAAGATGGCTTAATCTCTTAGTGTCAGGGAAGTTTTTTAAGACTACAAATTAGAATTGATTTGCCTAAATTACATTGGTAGAAGGAATTTCCATACTAGCACTTCCTTATACTTATGAAATAATAGATTTGGGATTATAAAAGTAAGCTGAGCTCAAAGTCTTTATAGAATGCTCATGAAAGGTAATGCCATGTGGCTCTCATGCCATGGAAGACCCGGGCCAAGCACATGCTCAGAGCTTCCACTGATTTTGATGAGAATAGCCAAGCTTGGCAGGGAGGGGAGTGCTCCATTTTCCAGAAGTATCTAGGGCTCCCTTGGGAAAGGCTGGCAGAGTTGTAGTGTAAATGAAAACATTCCTCTGTCAAGGATTATTTCTTTCTAGGCTAACTAAATAATTTCTTTCATAATACACCAGAAAGACTGAAAATCAATAATGTTCAGGAGTGATATCATTGCTAACAACCATAAAGATAAAGCTGGTAAGGAAATTTTGACCTGCCAGGAAGAAATCTCCCATGAGAATCTTAAAATCAGGGTTGTGTTGTGATTGGTATGGGGATTTGGTGTGACTCGATGCCTTCCATGACCACCCTAATGGACCTGACATTGTCTGGTACAGGGTTATGCTCACAGACAGTGCTGAAGAAATATCTGCAGAATAAATGAAGCTAAAACAGGACCCAGGGGGCAGCAACGGGGGAGACATCAGTGCCTGTAGTCAAAAAAGGGGGAGTCCAATGGGCATTCTATTGGGTTTGTAGGCAGCTGATGGACAGTGTCATAATGACAGGGAGGGAGGGAGGAGCACACTCACGTACTGCTCTTAGAGTCAAAGGAAAAGGATCGGTTTTCTGTTTGTTACTCGAAATAATGGGTGGCAACAAACACCAGCAGCACCTTAGCAAAGAGGGAGAACTGTGAGGCCAACTTTTTTGTTTTTAGGCAATTGGGGTTAAGTGACTTGTCCAGGGTCACACAGCTAGTAAGTGTCAAGTGTTTGGTCTGAGGTCAGATTTGAACTCGGGTCCTCCTGACTTCAGTACCAGTGCTCTATCCACTGCACCACCTTAGCTGCCCCGAGGCCAACATTTTGAGGGTGCTGTTCAGTGCCTGTTTAGACTCTTGGAAAGCAATTTATTCCTTTAGAATTGCTCCAGATTGCTCTGGACAACTAAAAATGAGGGTAAAGCTTGATGCAGGGCAGAGGGCACTGGGTTTGGAGGTGAACATTCTGGTTCTGCTGCCTAGAAGCTGTGTGATCTTAGAGGCAGCTAGCTGGCACAGTGGGCAGAGTGTTGGCCTCAGAGGACGACTTGAATTTGAATCCTGTCTCAGACATTTACTGGCTGTGTGGTACTGGGCAAGCCACTTAGCCTTTCTCAACCTCACTTTCCTTATGTGTAAAATGGGAATAATATTAGTATCTACCTCCCAAAGCTGTTGGGATAAAATGATATAATATTTGTAAAGTGCTTTGCAAACCTGAAAGAGCTATATAAATGGTAGCTCTTGTTCTTATCTTGGGCAAGTGGTTATCCTCTTAGACTCAGTTTCCTTCTCTGTAAAATTCATTAATTCATTTATTAAGTGCATTCTAATTAATGTACCAGGTACTATGCCAGGGACTGAGGCTACAAAGAAAAATGAAATTGTTCTCATCTTGAAATAGCTTTCATTCTATCGTCAGGAACATATACATAGAAAATAAAATATAAAAGATAAAGAAAGTAATTTCTAGAGGACAATACTAGCAGCTGGGATTGTGGATCAGGAAAGACTATGTGTAGGGAGTGGCAATTGATCTGAGCTTTGAATCAAGCTATGGTGAGAAGGAAGGACATTCATTCCAGGCCAGTGCAAAGGCATGAAGAAGAAGGGAGACAGAGTTGTGTATGAGGGACATTAAATCAGGCGTGTGCAAGAAGGAAAGCAACATTCAATAAGATTGAAAAGAGAGGATGGATTCAGACTGTGAAGAGTTTCAAAAACCAAACAGAAAAGTTTGTATTTGATCTTAGAGGAAAGATACAGCCACTGGGATTTCTTGAGTAAGGTATAATTGCGGTCATATCTCTACTTTGGGTGGATTGTATGGAATTATCTCTATGGCTTCTTCTAACATCCAATAAAGGCTTCAATAGGACATATACAAATGGGTATATTTCATAAAACTAAACTATTTTTGTTGTTCAGTTGTTTTTCAGTTGTGTCCAATTTTTTTGTTTGGACGGTGATGAACTGTGGTGAAATGTAACTGCCTATTAAGTAGTCCCAGAAACTGCTTCATGTTTTGACGTTCAATTCTCAGTCTCCTGGGAGAGTATAATATTATTTTAACTTATTTGTTATTGATTGCTTAAGTCTTGTTGATGTGCACTTTTGAAAGTCTTCTATGTTAACCATTTCTTTTGACAGTAGGAAATAAATACCTGTCCCATACCTGGTTTACATTGTACACTGAGTACCTTTCTATTATTCCCTTTGAGGAGATCTAGACAGGAGCCAAACCTAAGCTTTAATTAATTTTTCTCCAGGGCCCTGGGATGGGGCCATAAAAACTCAGAGAGTTTGAGAAAAAGAGCCTAGTCCTTCTTCCAGGTGTTAGACACGCCCAAGGACATGTAGGTCCAGAGCAAAGGGGCCTGTTAGTGGAGAGGAAGAGGGCAAAGCACCACCGTTCCTTGGACCCAGCAGCACTTTTAATTGTAAGAAGAGTAATACTATAACCAAGAGGATACTGACAAGAGCATAAAGAACAAATAAAGGGACTGGGAGAAGGGATCAGGAAGACCCCTGTGGGTCCTGAAGGTCATCCTGCAGGAAATACTACCATCTATGAAGTGGTCTGGACTGGCTAGGGCTGACCCCAGGCTCTTGGCCATACCAGGTTACAGTAGTTATTAATGATAATAATTACATTTCCATAGCATTTTAAGGTTTACAAAGTGCTCTGTATAGGTTATTTCGTCTGATCTTCACGATAACTTTGTGAGGTAGGGACCAGAGGTATTATTATCCCCATTTCACAGATGAGGGAACAGAGAACTTAAGTGGCTTGTCTAAAATCACACAGCCAGCAAGCGCCAGGCCCCAGGTCTCTCTCTCTCTCTCTCTCTTTTTTTTTAGGCAATTGTGGTTAAGTGACTCACCCAGGGTCACACAGCTGGTAAGTGTCAAGTGTTCGGTCTGAGGCCGAATTTGAACTCAAGTCCTCCTGACTTCAGGGCTGGTGCTCTATTCACTGCACCACCTAGCTGCCCCTCTTACTCTTTTTTTTTGTTTTTGTTTTTGTTTTTTAAGAATCACCTGTAGTTTTTTGTTTCTTTGGAGATCATGATGGTCCATGACTCATTGTCATATAGCATCTTTGTTTTTTTTGTTTTGTTTTGTTTTTGGTTGGGCAATGGGGTTAGGTAACTTGCCCAGGGTCACACAGCTAGTAAGTGTTATGTGTCTGAGGCCAGATTTGAACTCAGGTCCTCCTGACTCCATGGCCGGTGCTCTATCCACTGTGCCACCTAGCTGTCCCCCCAGGTCTCTTTCAAGGTATACATCTATTCTCTGCTTTCCTTCTTGGCCCCAACTTCCTTCTTGGTATTGAAATGACAGTGAGAGGCACATCTAGATGAGGTACAGTAAACTAACCAAATTTACAAGTGGAAGCTGATGGCATGTTGTTCTCGGTGCGGTAGGATGGGCATTCCCTGGCTTCTTGGGCTTCCATTAATCCACAAATGCCCTTTGCTATGGAAAACTATCAAGTCTCACTACCCAATGGGGTCCCTAAGGAAGTACTCACATATTCGGCTGACTTACCGAAAATTCCATAATTCTATTCCTAACCTTGTCCTTGACTTCCTGTATTTTTAATATTTTTCAGACCCTCCAAATCCAGCTCATGACTAGGACCGAGCTCTTTCAGGTCAAGAGACTTCCCTTAGACCTCCGTCAGGCAACCCTAACTGTTCAGGGAGAAGTTGGTGCCACTTCATCTGATAGGCCAACAGGCATGGATTTAGGGCCCCTACATGTCTAGGCATCCCAAAGAGTTAGCACAAAGTGAAGCAGTTGGCTTGGATCTCTGCCCACCTGACTGGAGATGTGTTCTCTTTTTTATAGTAAGGGAACCAGAGGGACGGGAAAGGGAGGGTGTCAGATCATCTAATACAGGTGTTTAAGGGCATCAAAGGGGTCTTCATGCACCATTGAGAGTACTTAGGCTGGGGAGGGTGGACTGTGAGCTCCTCCATTTTGGAATGTGAGCCCCTCCATTTGAATGTGATCTCCTTGAGGGTAGGGATTGATTTTTGCTTTTCATTGTATCCCTGGCACTTAGTACAGAGTCTGACATGCATGCAGTAAGCACTTAATGAATGCCTGTTGACTGACTGACTCGAGACTAAATGGCATGAGTACCACAGCTACAAGCCCACCCCTTTTCACCCCAAAATGAGTATTGACCACCAAATGTATACCAGTGGGTGACAGTGCCCAGTGATGCTAGCCTTTTACATTTCCAAGTTATGAAGGTGGTGTTAACATCATTTGTGTAATTTGCTTCAGTTCCTTGGAAAATTTGAAAGATCATAAAGGACAGTCCATGGTAAACACCCAATCTGTGTTCACATGAATGTGGAATACGTCATTGTTGCTTTGGAGAACTAGGTGAGAATTACCTTCTTTTTCATTTTCACATTTTTGAAGATGGCATGGACCCTCCACGTTTTGGCAAACATTGCTCCAAATGCAGTAGTGTAGCCCACTGTGAGAATCCAGGTTCGGACCTAAAAATCCAAGAGAAGACAGAACTTTACATCTCTTCTCTGTACTGTAGTATAGGCATTGAGTTATTTGCATCTTGTCTCCCCCATTAGAATGTGAGCTCCTTTAAGGAAGGGGCTGTTTTTGACTTTCTTTTGAATCTCCACTGCTTTGAACCCACTACTTGGCACATAACAATCATTTAATAAATGCTTGTTGACTGACTGACATCTTGTGAGCAAATTCAGTTTTCTAACTTTTGAAGCCACTCCAAATTTCCCCTTTAGATATATGTTTTAAAATATAAGCATGAAAAACATTTAGTTCTAAAAATATTTGGAGAAGACCAAAACAGTGAGCCCCCCCAAATCTGTTTATGTCAGAACTTTCACTGTCTTAGAGGCAGTTATCTCTTCACAGCAAGAGAAGGAACCTTTCAGACAATTCCAAAGTGACTACAGGCCTGGATGGTATAGAACCCCCTCCCCTTTCCCTTCTCACCTGTGCCTCCTAGGCTCTGCCTTTTCCCTGATCCAATTCCCACCTGGTACTTTTCATGGCTGGAGATGCCCTGTGCTTCAATAGACCAAAGATTTAGATTTAGATCTAAATCTGGAATGGTTCTTGGAGGTACAACCCTCTGATTTTTTTTTACAGATGAGGAAACTGAGGCTAGGAAAGATTAAAAGACTTCTATGAGGTACTGGAAGCAGAAAGTGGAAGTGTTAGGGTTTGAAGACCTCTGGAGGTTTGCAGATTTGAAGCCCCAAGACCTCTAAATCCAATACTCTTCCAATTCATGGACTCTGCACTATAAAAAGGTGAACTCTATGTAGTGGAAAGTGGAAAGAGGACCAAGTCAGGAGTCTGGAGACCTGGGGTCTGACTCTGTGTGGCAAGTCACTTTTGTCTCCTGAAAATGAAACATTTGGTCTTGATTATCTCTAAGGTCTTTTCCAGATCAGAGAGCCTTTGAATTTAGTCAGATCTGATTTAGTAGGACTAATTTACAATATTTATTAGTTTTTTTATAATTGCAATGATATTATGATTAATTGTATTCTGCCTTGCCCAAAAGGGAGAAAATTCTCCCTTCTGTCCTTTCTTATGTTTTTTTTTTCTTGTAGCATGTAACAAAACACCCTCTCCTCCCTAGCTTGGAGTTATTTGTGTTTCAGTACAAAAATGTATGCCTTAAGTATTGGTATGAAACTTAACAGATGTTCTAGGAGGGACTGGATGTGGGCAGAGAAGCAAACCTTGAAGTGGGTGGAGTGCAGAACTGTCCCTGGGGCTCCAAAGAAGGGGAGCAGGCAGCTTGGGAGAGCCAAGGGGAAAGGGACCAAGAGCAGAGTTAGAAAGCATAGAGGTTAGACAGGCAAAGCTCGAAAATTTGGATTTTTTTTGGCAAGGCAACTAGGGTTAAGTGACTTGCCCAGGGTCACACAGCTAGTATGGGTCAAGTGCCTGGTCTGAGACAGGATTTGAACTCAGGTCCTCCTGACTCCAGGGCTAGTGCTCTATTTGAAAATTTGGAACAGGAAACAGAGGAGCTTGGAGCTAGCTGATCATAGTAATGGCCAGAGTAAGGAGACATGTGCCCTTCAGGCTAGAGAGAAATATACTGTCCTGTAAGGTCTGAAAGGTGGCCCCAAAACATGGTTAGTCTAGAGAGCATAGTCTAGAGATCTTGTAGACAAGTTCATCTAGGCCTGATGTTGTTGTTTTAGTCGTGTCTGAATCTCTGTGACTCCATTTGGGGTTTTCTTGGTAAAGACACTGGAGTGGTTTTCCATTTCCTTCTCCAGCTCATTTTACAGATGAGGGAACTGAAGCAAACAGGGTTATAAGTGATTTACTCAGGGTCACACAGCTAGTAAGTGTCTGAGGCTGGATTTGAACTCAGGTCCTCCTGACTCCAGGGCCAGTGCTCTGACTGTGCCACCTAGCTGGCTCTCACCCAGGCCTAGGCAAATACATAAGGAAGAAACCTTAGGAAGTTTAAACAGCTCTGTACTTCCCCAAATATGAACTACCTGTTCTTGTAGATGTCTGCAGGGCCTCAATTTTCCTTCCCTTATGGCTGTCAGGTTATACCTGGCAGAGAAAAAATAGCCTCTGCTCCACACCCAAAGCTTATTTCCAGTGCCACTGTCTTTATTTTGCTAACTTCTGGATCTCACATGCCTTACCAGGGATGGGGAACCTGCAGCTTCGAGGCCACATGTGGCCCTCTAGGTCCTCAAGTGTGGCCCTTTGACTGAGTCCATCTAAGTCTGGCCTCAAGGCCGCAGGTTCCCCACCTCTGCTTAGATTTTTGAAACCTGCTTTCTTCTTACAGCCTTTAGTTGATTTCTGGGATTTAATTCCCTTTCAGAATATAAACTCTCCTTTATAATGTAAGCTGCTTGCCAGTAAGGAGATAATTCCCTTTATTGTATTTTGTATCCCCAACACCTAGCTAACTTAGTGCCTGACACATAGTAAGTGCTTAATGAAAGCTTGCTGATTGATTGAACTTATTATTTAAGGGGAAAAAATGACTTCCTCCCTCAATTGTTTTTTAGCCTGCAAACGGGTACTGCAGACACAGTCTGTCTGTTGACTCTCGGGCTGGATTTCATTAAGGGTTACCTCCTATAGCGATCTGGTCAGCAAAAACCAATTCCCCAGGTTCTTCCTTTGGCTCACAAACACATAAGAGTAGCCTTTGGTAGAGAGCAGAAGTCTCTGCTCTTCCAGAAATACAGAGGCAGGGCAACCTTTTTTAGTCCCAAAGCCAGTGGGATATGTGATACCAGGAAGATGCATAAATTCACCCAGCTGGGTAAGAAGGAATAGAATCCTGAGATCACTGTGGACAAAGGAATGCCCCGAATTCGTCAACCTTGTTGAAGCCTCATTCCTGTAATTAATCTGCTTAGCAATCATACCATAGGAACTGACTCCAGTGTGTCACCAAAGCAAAGTCCTCTAGCAACACTCTGGCTGCTGGCTTTTATGTAGTACTTGTTAATTTCTTTAAATGGAGGTAGGCTGTGGGTTCCAATCTGGCTTCAGACACTTATTAGCTGTGTGACCCTGGGCAAGTCACTTAATCCTATTTACCTCAAGTTCCTCATCTGTAAAAATGAGCTGGAGAAGGAAATGTTAAACCACTGCAGTATCTCTGCCAAGAAAATCCCAAATGGGGTCAGGAAGAGTCAGGCACGACAGAAAAAACAACTGAACAACAACAAGGTTGTGGACAGCAGCTTCAGTGTTCCTGAGTGATTCTGGCCATGCCTGGATATCCATGCTCTTAATTCTATGCTGAGAGTTCCCCTCATTGCCTGTGATTTTGTGCTGAGCGTGGCTTTCCCTGACTACATAATAATAGCTAACATTTATATCGTGCTTACTATATGCCAGGCATTGTACCAGGCACTTTATAATAATTTTTATCTCACTGGATCCTCACAACAACCCTGGGAGGTAAGTACTCTCATTATCCCCATTTTCCAGATGAGGAAACTGAGGCAGACAGAGGTAAATGACTTGCCCAGGGTCACACTGCTAGTAAGTATCTGAGGCAGGATTTGAACTCAAATCTTCCTGTCTCCAGGCCCAGTACTCTGACCACTGCCCCACCTAGCTGCCCTATGTGGCTTTGTTCATTCCTCCTCTGGCTTCTGAATTCATATTCTACGGCACAGGAGTCATGGACAATTGTTGCCTGACTTGTGACTTTTTGCTTAGTCCTTTCGGCCCTTCTGTACTTATACCTTTCTATACTCAACCCATTTACCTGCCTGACCTGACATATCCCTCCTTCTTCAGCTGTACCCACAGTCATGGCCCAGTCTGGCCAGCCCTGTTCTGCTGTTATTTGCATCCAATTATGATAGAATATGAGGCAGCTAGGTGGCATCATAGTGCACAGAGCACTAGGCCTGGAGTCAAGAAGACTCCTCTTCCTGAGTTCAAATCTGCCCTCAGCCATTTACTAGCTGTGTGACCCTCAGCAAATCATTTAATTCTGTTTGCCTCAGTTTCCTCATCTGTAAAATGAGCTGGAGAAGGAAACGGCAAACCACTTCAGTATCTTTGCCGAGAAAACCTCGAATGGGGTCATGAGGAGTCAACTCAACAACAAATGACAGAATATGAGGGGGATATGTTGGAAACTTAGGATAGAAAAGTTGTTGGGGCTTGAAAAGCACTCAGTCTATATAATAACAAAAAATAATAACATAATAACAAATAACAAGTTGATATGACACTTTAAGTTTTGTAAAGCACTTTACAAATGGTATCTTATTTGACCCTCACAAATACCCTGCAAGGTAGGTACCATTATTATCCCCATTTTACAGATGAGGAAACTGAGGCTGAGAGAGGTTAAGGGACTTGCCCAGGGTAACATAGCTAGTAAGTATCTGAGGTAGGATTTGAACCTAGATCTTGTCTCCACACTGCTGGCACTTCCTACTTCCTGACTTTCTGGAGTCGTAGTTCCTTACTTCCTTCACTCCATCTACTAGACCACCAGGTTGTAAGAGAAATTAGATTAGTAAAGATCTGAATTGTGAACTAGGACAATCAACTTGACACATTCAGGTTTTTTTTGAAGCTGCAAAGATGAGTACGTAGGCTCTTCTTGAGCTGGATAGAGCACTGGACTTAGAATCAGGAAGACTTGGGTTCAAAACCTCATATACTTACTGCCTGTGTGACCCTGGACAATTACTCAGTCTCTACGTGCCACAGTTTCTCCTCTGTATAGTGTGGGAGTTGCACTCAATGGCCTTCTAAGATCCCTTCCAGTTCTATGTCTGTGATCTGAATTTTCACAAATTTTCCTCATAAAAATGCTGGTTACTCACTGTCTTTCCCTCCTGAGGTTACTCTGGGCAATGACAAGGCTGTACTGAGCTCATGGTACTATCAGATGCCTGGCATGAGGGGCATCTGAATTAATACTTCTTTCCTTCCCATTATTTTCTTCCTCCTCACATAAGAAGTCATAAATTTTGAAGTAAAA